TTGGATGTAATATGTAATTTGTTGGATATAAATAACTCAATAAAAACCAGTACGTCTAGTACCTTTCACCTTAAAAAAAAAAAAAAAAAAAAGTTTTAAAGAATCCAATTAAGAATTTTATCATTATACAACTTAAATCTTTTTAATCAAACTCTTAAAATTGACTTATATATAATAGAACTTGAAGTATAAGAGAAATATTATATTAATATTAACAGAAATAACTTTTTATTTTGAAAAAAATAAAAAATCAGTTTTTGAAAAGATTAATTAACAAGTCTGTTTTAAAAAAAAATTTTTTTTTTGATATTAATAAAGGAAAAAAAAAGTTTTTTTTAGAAGACAAAATAACTTGATAAGTCATTTTTATTTGTTTTATTAAAATTTTCAAAAAAAAGTTTTTCAAAAAATTAAAAGAAACAGAAAAGTTTTTTTTTTTTTATAATAATATAATTTTTTATAAATAAATAGTCAATAATATTATTAAAAAAATTCAATATTATTTAAACATTTATTTATTTTTGATTTTTTTTTTAATATTTAAATCAAAAAAACCATAAACCAATAATTAACCAGTACAAAGGTTTAATAAATAAATTATTTAATATTTAAATAAACTAAATACATATTAAAAAATTAATATTGATAAAATAAAAAAATTTTAGTATAACAAAACCCCACCACAATTTCCGGGGAACTGTATATAACTTAAATTTATTTTATTATAAGTAGTGACGAATAATCAAACTTTATTTTATAAATTTGTTTGACTGTATAAAACAAAATAACTAAGAATTGATTCTATAAATAATATACTACCAATCTTAAAATCAGCTAGGGAAATTAATGACAGTAATAATTAAATAAAAACGAATTCTAGAAATTATATTAAAAAATCGTGAAAAATTAATATAAAGTATTCAACTTTTTTTTTTTTTAATAAAATATACTAACAAAACTTCCTAGGAATCATAAATTTTTTAAAAACCCAAATTTAGCAAAGCTATTCTCAGCGATTCAGTATATTCAATTTATAAAGAAAAAGTTTGCGACCTCTGATTTAGTCCGAACCATACATTAAAACGAATCATTGCAATATAAGGTGAGAAAAGAGATGAGTCAGATGAACTCCTGTCATCTACCAATAATAGTAGGAATCTCCAAATATGACTTTATTATTTACATCTCATTGCGTTACATAATTTCATCTATGCATTCTTCGTTCCATGATGATATGGTGCTGTCACTAAGAGGTGTCAAAGGTGAACCTTTTCCTAAAAACATATCTACTTGAGATTGATTCTTGCGTGTACCATTTAGATCTTCATTCATAGTGATATCCCTAGAATTGTCTACCTTGTCAATACGTCTGCATTTTACTTCCGCTTCATCTACAAAGGATTTGGAATCTTGTTCTCTTGTCACATCCTCATAGTTACGTTTTTTGCTAACGATTCTCAGCCTAAGATTTTTTGGAGTTTCTATTTTGGATTCAGGTGAATTAGAATGTTCATTGTCATGATCTTCTTTAATATCTATAACATTATTTTTCATAGAAGAAATGAATGTAGTATCTATTCCTTTTTCTCTAAATCGTTTCTCGTTGATATGGTTATTGATCCTTCGACATAATCTACGCGCAAACCTAGAATGGTCACTAATTCCTTCTGGAATACTGGATTGAATTAGTTGACGTTCTTCAGATGAAGCGTTGCCATTAGACTCAAGCTTACTGGACAATTTTAATAGGAATAAGGCAAGTTCAACTATGCCTTTTTCTTCCCACGTCGATAAACTTTTAGGATTTTCTAAAAATAACGTCATTGATTAGCGATTGTGAATACGTAAGGGAAGACATGAAGCCGCGGTGATACATACCTTTAAGGATATTGTAATATTTTCTTCCTGCAAACCAACACATTTTCTCAAAATATGGAAAGCGATATTTTATCGGAACATCGGTACGCCTTTCAATGTCGTATATAGCCAATTGACCACCAATGTTAAATCCATGCAAGAAATTACCACCAATAACTAT